TCATTTCTTATTATTATTTTGTGTCTTTTCATTTTGCTTATTATTAATTTGTGTCTTTCATTTGCTTCCGTTATTATTTTGTGTCTTTTCATTAGGTTATTATTATTTGTGTCTGTTCATTTCTCCCTTACCGTTTAGGTTGTCTTTTCATTTACTTATTATTATTTTGTGTCTTGTCATTTGCTTCCATTATTATTTTTGTGTCTTTTTTTTTATAATTATTAATTTGTGTCTGGTCATTTGCTTCCGTTATTATTTTGTGTCTTGTCATTTGCTTCCATTATTATTTTGTGTCTTTTCATTTTGCTTCATTATTAATTTGTGTCTTTGTCATTTACTTCCATTATTATTTTGTGTCTTTTCATTTTTTCCATTATTAATTTGTGTCTTGTCATTTGCTTCCATTATTTTTTGTTCTTTTCATTTGCTTCCATTATTATTTTTGTGTCTTTTCATTTTTGCTTCCATTATTATTTTGTGTCTTGTCATTTCTATTATTATTTTGTGTCTTACCGTTTTGCTTCCATTATTAATTTGTCTTGTCATTTTTACTTCATTATTATTTTTGTGTCTTTTCATTTACTTGTGGTAATATTTGTATTTTGTCATTTTACTTACATTATCCCTTACCGTGTCTTTTTTATTTGGTTGTTTCGTTAATTTTTGTGTCTTTTCATTTGCTTCCATTATTATTTTGTGTCTTTCATTTTGCTCCCATTATTAATTTGTGTCTTTCATTTGCTTCCTGTTTATTTTGTGTCTTTTCATTTTTACTTTATTATTTTATTTTCATTTTTCATTATTATTTTGTGTCTTTTCATTGCTTCCATTATTAATTTGTGTCTTTCATTGTCTTTTTATTATTTTGTGTCTTGTCGTTTTGCTTCCATTATTATTTTGTGTCTTTTCATTTGCTTCCATTATTATTTTGTGTAGGTCATTTGCTTATTTTATTTGTGTCTTTTCATTACCGTGTTATTATTTTGTGTCTTTCATTTTTCCATTATTAATTTGTGTCTTTTATTTGCTTATTATTATTTTGTCTTTTCATTTGCTTTCCATTATTAATTTGTGTCTTGTCATTTGCTTCTTTTATTATTTTGTGTCTTTTCATTTGCTTCCATTATTATTTTGTGTCTTTTCATTTGCTTCCGTTATTATTTTTGTGTCTTGTCATTTTTGTGTGCATTATTATTTTTGTCTTTTCATTTCTTTCCATTATTATTTTGTGTCTTGTCATTTGCTTCCATTATTATTTTGTGTCTTTTCATTTACTTCATTATTATTTTGTGTCTTTTCATTTTGCTTTCCATTATTATTTTGTGTCTTTTCATTTGCTTCATTATTATTTTGTGTCTTTTCATTTGCTTCATTATTATTTTGTGTCTTTTCATTTTGCTTCCGTTATTATTTTTGTGTCTTTTCATTTTGCTTCGTTATTATTTGTCTTGTCATTTTTTCTTATTAATTTACTTGTCATTTTAATTTTTGTCTTGTCATTTACTTCTGTTATTATTTTTGTCTTTTCATTTATTTCCATTATTAATTTGTCTTCATCATTTACTTCATTATTATTTGTATCTTTTCATTTTACTTCGTTATTATTTTGTGTCTTGTCATTTTACTTCATTAATATTTTGTGTCTTTCATTTTACTTCTATTTATTAATTGTCTTGTCATTTTGCTTTCCTTATTATTTTGTGTCTTTCATTTGCTTTCATTATTATTTTGGTGTCTTTTCATTTATTGCTTCCATTATTAATTTGTGTCTTGTCATTGATTCCATTATTATTTTGTTCTTTTCATTTACTTCCATTATTATTTTGTGTCTTATCATTTTACTTCCATTATTATTTGTGTCTTTCATTTACTTCCATTATTAATTTGTATCTTGTCATTTACTTCACATTATTATTTTGTGTCTTTTTATTTGCTTCATTATTAATTTGTGTCTTGTATTTGCTTCCATTATTATTTGTGTCTTGTCATTTTACTTCCATTATTATTTTGTCTTTTTCATTTGCTTCGTATTAATTTGTGTCTTGGCCATTTACTTCCGTTATTATTTTGTGTCTCTTTTCATTTACTTCCATTATTAATTTGTGTCTTGTCATTTACTTCGTTATTATTTGTGTCTTTTCATTGCTTCCATTATTAATTTGTCTCTTATCATTTTACTTCCGTTATTATTTTGTGTCTTTTCATTTGCTTCCATTATTAATTTGTGTCTGTCATTTGCTTCGTTATTATTTTGTGTCTTTTCATTTGCTTTACATTATTAATTTGTGTCTAGTCATTTTGCTTCGTTATTATTTTGTGTCTTTCATTTGCTTCCATTATTAATTAGTGTCTTGTCATTTACTTCCGTTATTATTTTGTCCTTTCATTTTCTTCCATTATTATTTGTGTCTTATCATTTACTTCATTATTATTTTTTTTCATTTTACTTCATTATTAATTGTCTTTTCATTTACTTCCATTATGATTTTGTGTTTTTTTCATTATTATCCGTATTATTTTCATCATTTTCAAATTATTATTTGTGTCTTTCATTTTACTTCTTTTACAAATTAGTGTCTTGTCATTTTACTTCGTGTTTCATTTCTTCATTATTATTTTTCTACCTTTCATTTTGCTTCAAATTATGGATTTGTGTCTTTTCTTTTACTTCCATTATTATTTATGTCTTTTCATTTCTTCATTATTATCCTCTAATTTTCAGTTTTTCAAATTAGTAGATGGACAAGGTTTTCTTTTGACAAAATAGTGATGACCCATGTTTTTCTTCATTATTATCCTTCTACCTTCAATTTTTTCAAATTATGGATGGACGTTTTTTTTTGACAAAATACTGATGACCTACAAACTTTTTCTTCATTATTATCCCCACTTTCAATTTTTCAAATTGGTGGATGGACAAGTTTTTTTTGACAAAATACGGACCTACAAGCTTTTCTTCATTATTATCCTTCACCTTTCAATTTTTCAAATGGTGGATGGATAATTTTTGAAAAAAATACTGATGACCTATGCTTTTCTTCATTATTATCTTCACCTTCAGTTTTTCAAATTAGTGGATGGACAAGTTTTTTTGATAAAATACTGATGGATTCTAGCTTTTCATTATTATTATCCTTCTAGTTTTCAATTTTTCAAATTAGTGATAGACAAGTTTTTCTTGACAAATACTGATGACCTACAAGCTTTTCTTCATTATTATCCTTCTACCTTTTTTTCAATTGGTGGATGGACAAGTTTTTTTCTTAAAATACTGACACCCAGCTTTTCTTTCATTATTATCCTTCTACCTTTTTAAATTTTGGACAAATTAGTGGATAAACAAGGTTTTCTTGACAAAATACTGATGACCTACAAGCTTTTCTTCATTATTATCTTCTAGTTTTTTTCAAATTGTGGATGGACAAGTTTTTTTTTGACAAAATACTGATGACCCATGGCTTTTCTTCATTATTATCCTTCTACCTTTCAGTTTTTCAAATTAGTGGATAGACAAGTTTTTTTCTTGACAAAATACTGATGACCTACTGCTTTTCTTCATTATTATCCTTCTACCTTCTTAGTTTTTCAAATTGGTGAATGGATTAAGTTTTTTCTTGACCTTAAAATACTGATGACTCACAAGTTTTCTTTATTATCCTTCTACTTTCAGTTTTTCAAATTAGTGGATAGACAAGTTTTTTCTTGACAAAATACTGATGACCTGCCGTTTCTTCTTCGTTATTATCCTTCTACCTTTCAGTTTTTCAAATTAGTGGGACATGTTTTTCTTGACAAATACATTTATCAAGCTTTTCTTTCATTATTATCCTTCTACCTTTCCAGTTTTTTCAAATTGGTGAATAGACAAGTTTTTTTGATAAAATACTGATGACTCCAAGCTTTTCTTCATTATTATCCTTCTACCTTTCAGTTTTCAAATTATTAGAATGGACAAGGTTTTCTGATAAAATACTGATGACCTACAAGGATTTTCTTCATTGTATCCTTCTACCTTTCAGTTTTTCAAATTAGTGGATAGACAAGTTTTTCTTGACAAATATTAATGACCCATGTTTTTTTCTTCATTATTATCCTTCTACCTTTCAGTTTTCAAATTAGTAGATGGACAAGTTTTTTTTGACAAAATACTGATGACCCATGTTTTTTCTTCATTATTATCCTTCTACCTTTCGTTTTTCAAGTTAATTGGATGGACAAGTTTTTCTTGACAAAATACTGATGACACGGCTTTCTTCATTATTATCTTACCTTTCAATTTTTCAAATTGGTGGATGGGATGTCTTTTTCACAAACTTCATCGGATGTGTCTTATCATTTTCTTCCATTATTATTCCTTCTGTATTTTACTTTTCAATTTTTCAATTTCTTGGATTATTAATTTTTTTTGAATTTTAATTCCGTTATTATTTTGTGTCTTTTTTCTTCCATTACTAATTTGTGTGTCTTATATTGCTTCCGTTATTAATTTGTGTCTTGTCTTTGCTTCCGTTATTATTTTTGTGTACTTTTGTCATTTGCTTCCATTATTATTTTGTGTCTTTCATTTTACTTCCATTATTAATTTGTGTCTTGTCATTTGATTCATTATTATTATTTTGTGTCTTTTCATTTACTTCCGTTATTATTTGTGTCTTTTCATTTTATTATTAATTTGTATATCATTTACTTCCATTATTATTTGTATTTTCATTTGCTTCATTATTAATTTGTGTCTTGTGTTTACTTCCATTATTATTTTGTATCTTTTTCATTGCTTCATTATTAATTGTGTCTTTTTCATTGCTTCCATTATTAATTTGTGTCTTATCATTGCTTCCATTATTATTTTGTGTCTTTCATTTACTTCCATTATAAAATTTTGTCTTATCATTTACTTCCATTATTATTTTGTGTCTTTTCATTTACTTCATTAATAATTTGTGTCTTATCATTTGCTTCCATTATATTTATGTCTTTTCATTTACTTCCATTATTAATTTATGTCTTGTCATTTCTTCGTTATTATTTTGTTTCTTTTCATTTCTTGTCATTTGTGTCTTTTCTTTTTTGTCTTTTCATTCATTTTTGTTCTTTTCATTTTTTCATTATTTATTTTGTCTTTCATTTGTCTTTTCATTTTTCCATTATTAATTTGTCTTTCATTTCTTTCCATTATTATTTTTTGTGTCTTTCATTTTCGTTCTTTTAATTTGTGTCATTTTCATTTGCTTCCCTTATTATTTTTTCTTTTCATTTTCTTTCTTTATTCATTTGTGTCTTGTCATTTACTTCCGTTATTATTTTGTGTCATTTTCTTTTCTTTTTTTTCTTGTCTTTTCTTTCATTTTTTGTCTTTCTTTACTTCATATTTTGTGTCATTTTTATTAATTTTTGTCTTTTGTTTACTTCCATTATTATATCCCTGTCATTTTATTTTCTTTATTTCTTTCATTTTTCTTTGTCTTTTCATTTTTCTTCCATTATTAATTTGTGTCTTTTCATTTGCTTCCGTTATTATTTTGTGTCTTGTCATTTACTTCCATTATTATTTGTGTCTTTTCAATTGCTTTATTATTAATTTGTCTTGTCATTGCTTCCCTTATTATTTTTATCTTTCATTTGCTTCCATTATTAATTTGTGTGTCATTTGCTTTACGTGTTATTATTTTGTGTCTTGTCATTTGCTTCCATTATTATTTTGTGTCTTTCATTTGCTTCCATTATTAATTTGTGTCTGTTTACTTCATTATTATTTGTGTCTTTTCATTTTACTTCATTATTAGTACATATCTTGTCATTTACTTCCATTGTGTTTGTGTCTTGTCATTTACTTCCCATTATTATTTTGTATCTTTTCATTTACTTCCATTATTAATTTGTGTCCTTGACATTGCTTCCATTATTATTTTGTGTCTCTTTTCATTTCTTCCATTAATAGTTATGTCTTGTCATTTCTTCCATTATTATTTTGTGTCTTGTCATTTACTTCCCTTGATATTTTTGTCTTTTCATTTTTCATTTTGCTTTCATTTTACTTAATTTGTGTCTTGTCATTTACTTACATTATTATTTTGTGTCTTTTCATTTTACTTCCATTATTTTGTGTCTTATTTCTTTTTCATTTTTCTTTCTTTTCTTTCTTTCATTTGCTTCCGTTATTATTTTGTCTTTTCATTTTTACTTCCCTTCATTTCTTCTTTCCGTTATTATTTGTATCTTTTCTTCCATTATTAATTTGTGTTTTTTTGCTTCGTTATTATTTTGTGTTTTCTTTTCTTCTGTTATTATTTTCTTTCTTTTCATTTGCTTTTCCTTAATTTGTATCTTGTCATTTCTTCATTTTATTTTGTGTCTTTTCATTTGCTTTCTTTTATTTTGTGTCTTTCATTTTGCTTTCGTTAATATTTTTTGTCATCTTCATTTGCTTTCATTATTTCTTTCTTTCTTGTCTTTTCATTTTCTTTCATTATTTCCATCCATAATTCCCTGTCTTCATTTGCTTCCCGTTATTATTTTGTTTCTTTTCATTATTATTTTGTGTCTTTTCTTTTTGCTTTCCTTTATTATTCCGTGTCATCTTTTTCTTTCCATTATTAATTTTGTTTCTTTTGTTTCGTTATTATTGTGTCTTTCATTTAACTTCCGTTATTATTTTTGTCTTTTCATTTGCTTCCATTATTATTTTGTGTCTTGTCATTTTACTTCCATTAATATTTTTTGTGTCTTGTCATTTTGCTTCCATTATTAATTTGTGTCTTTTCATTTTTCCATTATTATTTTGTGTCTTTTCATTTGCTTTTTATTTTATTGTCTTTTCGTTATTATTTTTGTCTTTCATTTGCTTATTATTAATTTGTTTCTCGTCATTTGCTTCCGTTATTATTTTTGTCTTTTCATTTACTTCCATTATTAATTTGTGTCTTGTCATTTGCTTCATTATTATTTTATGTCTTTTCATTTTACTTCCATTATTATTTTGTGTCTTGTCATGTTTTACTCCCGTTATTATTTTGTGTCTTTTCATTTACTTCCATTATTATTTTGTCATATCATTTACTTCCATTATTATTTTGTCTCTTTTATTTACTTCCATTATTTTTTGTGTCTTTTCATTTTACTTTCCGTTATTATTTTTGTCTTGTCTTCCATTATTTTCTTACTCCGTTATTATTTTGTGTCTTTTCATTTGCTTCCATTATTATTTATTTTTTCCTTTATTTTCATTTGCTTCCATTATTATTTTGTGTCTTTTCATTTGCTTCCATTATTAATTTGTCTTTCATTTGCTTTATTATTTTGTCATCTTTTCATTTGCTTCATTATTAATTTGTGTCTTTGTCTTTCATTTGCTTCCGTTATTAATTTTTCATTTCTTCCTTTTGTCTTTTCATTTGCTTCCATTATTAATTTGTGTCTTCATTTGCTTCCATTTGTGTCTTCCATTATTAATTTGTGTCTTGTCATTTCTTTCCGTTATTTATTATTTTTTGTCTTTTCATTTGCTTTTATTATTTTTCTTCATTTTGCTTCATTATTATTTTGTCTTTTCATTTGCTTCCATTATAATTTGTGTCTTCATTTTTTCGTTATTTTTTTGTCTTTTCATTTTTCCATTATTATTTGTGTCTTTTTCATTTGCTTCATTATTAATTTCTTGTCTTTTGTCATTTTCTTCCGTTATTATTTTGTGTCTTTCATTTCTTTTATTAATTTTTTCATTTGCTTTTCTTATTATTTTGTGTCTTGTCATTGCTTCCATTATTATTTTGTGTCTTTTCATTTGCTTCGTAATAATTTGTGTCTTTTCATTTGCTTCCGTTATTATTTGTATCTTTTCATTTGCTTCATTATTAATTTGTCTTGTGTTTGCTTCCGTTATTATTTTGTGTCTTTTCATTTACTTCCATTATTAATTTGTGTCTTGTCATTTGCTTCCGTTATTATTTTGTGTCTTTCATTTGCTTCCATTATTAATTGTGTCTTGTCATTTACTTCATTATTATTTTGTGTCTTGTCATTTGCTTCATTATTATTTGTCTTTTCATTTGCTTCCATTATTAATTTGTGTCTTGTCATTGCTTCCATTAATGTTTGTGTCTTTTCATTTACTTCCATATTATTTTTGTGTCTCATTTTACTTCCGTTATTAATTTGTGTCTTGTCATTTACTTCATTATTATTTTGTATCTTTTCATTTGCTTCCATTATTATTTTTGTCTTTTCATTGCTAAATTATTATTTTTGTGTCTTGTCATTTGCTTCCATTATTATTTTGTATCTTTTCATTGCTTCATTATTATTTTTGTGTCTTGTTATTTGCTTCATTATTAATTTGTGTCTTTTCATTTGCTTCCATTATTATTTTGTGTCTTTCATTTGCTTCCGTTATTATTTTGTGTCTTGTCATTTGCTTCCGTTATTATTTTGTGTCTTTTCATTTGCTTCCATTATTATTTTGTGTCTTTCATTTGTCTCTTCATTATTAAATTATTATTTGTATGTCTTTTCATTTGCTTCGTTATTAATTTGTGTCTTTTCATTTACTTCCGTTATTATTTTGTGTCTTGTCATTTACTTCCGTTATTATTTTGTCTTTTCATTTACTTCATTATTAATTTGTGTCTTATCATTTTACTTCCATTATTATTTTGTGTCTTTTCATTTACTTCCATTATTAATTTGTGTGTCTTTTCATTTACTTCCATTATTATTTTGTGTCTTTTCATTTCTTCATTATTATTTTGTGTCTTTTCATTTACTTCCATTTATTAATTTGTGTCTTGTCATTTACTTCGTTATTATTTTGTGTTCTTTTCATTTGCTTCATTATTATTTTGTGTCTTGTCATTTGCTTCCGTTATTATTTTGTGTCTTTTCATTTGCTTCCATTTATTATTTTTGTGTCTTGTCATTTGCTTCCATTATTATTTTGTGTCTTTTTCAGGGTTCCATTCATTTGCTTCCTTTTTGTCTTTCATTTACTTCCGTTATTATTTTGTGTTTTCATTTCTTTATTATTAATTTGTGTCTTGTCATTTACTTCCATTATTATTTTGTGTCTTTCATTTTGCTTCCATTATTAATTGTGTCTTGTCATTTGCTGAAATTATTATTTTGTCTTTTCATTTTTTTACTTATTATTTTTATTTTCATTGACTTCCCATTATTCTTTGTGTCTTGTCTTCAATAAATTTTGTGTCTTTTATTTACTTCCGTTATTAATTGTTTTTTCATTTCTTGTATTATTTGTATCTTTTCATTTTTCCATTTTAAACTGTCTCATCATTTGCTTCCATTATTATTTTGTGTCTTTTCATTTGCTTCATTATTAATTTGTGTCTTTTCCTTTGCTTCCATTAAATTTGTATCTTTTTTTTACTTCCATTATTATTTTGTGTCTTATAAATTTGCTTCCGTTATTATTTTGTGTCTTTTCATTTGCTTAATTATTAATTTGTGTCTTGTCATTTGCTTCCATTATTATTTTGTGTCTTTTCATTTGCTTGTATTATTAATTTGTGTCTTGTCATTTGCTTCGTTATTATTTTGTGTCTTTTCATTTGCTTCCCATTCTCTTAATTTGTGTCTTATCATAAATCTTCATTTTTTTTTATTTCTTTCATTTGCTTCCATTATTAATTTGTGTCTTGTCATTGCTTTCCATTATTAATTTGTGTCTTTTCATTTGCTTCCGTTATTATTTGTGTCTTTCATTTGCTTCCGTTATAATTTTGTCTTTTCATTTCCATTATTATTTTGTGTCTTTTCATTTGCTTCATTAATAATTTGTGTCTTTTCATTTTACTTCCATTATTATTTTGTGTCTTTTCATTTGCTTCCATTATTATTTTGTGTCTTTTCATTTACTTCATTATTATTTTGTGTCTTTTCATTTACTTCCATTATTATTTTGTGTCCTTCATTTGCTTCCATTATTATTTTGTGTCTTTTCATTTGCTTCGTTATTATTTTGTGTCTTTTTCCTTCCTTTCCTTTTGTGTCTTGTCATTTGCTTCCGTTATTATTTTTGTGTCTTTTCATTTTTTGCTTCTTTATTAATTTGTGTCTTTTCATTTTACTTTTATTATTTTGTGTCTTTTCATTTGCTTCCATTATTAATTTTGTTGTCTTTCATTTTGCTTCGTTATTATTTTGTGTCTTTCATTTGCTTCCATTATTATTTTGTGTCTTTCATTTGCTTCCATTATTCCTTTTGTCTTGTCATTTTCTTCCGTTATTATTTTGTGTCTTTTCATTTGCTTCCATTATTAATTTGTGTCTTGTCATTTGCTTCCATTATTATTTTGTGTCTTTTCATTTGCTTCCATTATTAATTTTGTGTCTTTTCATTTGCTTTCGTTATTATTTGTGTCTTTTCATTTGCTTCGTTATTATTTTGTGTCTTTTCATTTGCTTCCATTATTATTTTGTGTCTTTTCATTTGCTTCCATTATTATTTGTGTCTTTTCATTTACTTCCATTATTATTTTGTGTCTTTTCATTTACTTCCATTATTATTTTGTGTCTTTTCATTTTACTTCATTATTATTTTGTGTCTTTTCATTTCTTTCATTATTATTTGTCTTTTCATTTGCTTATTATTATTTGTGTCTTGTCATTTTACTTCCATTATTATTTTGTGTCTTTTCATTTACTTCCATTATTAATTTGTGTCTTGTCATTTTACTTCCGTTATTATTTTTGTCTTTTCATTTGCTTCATTATTAATTTGTGTCTTTTCATTTGCTTCCATTATTAATTTTGTCTTGTCATTTCTTTTTTA